GGGGGGGGGGGGGGGGGGGGGGGGATTCGATCTTCCAGTAAATTGAGCACTATCTATGGGGAAGCCAAGGATCCCCCGCGAAGCTACCCACTGGGAATGCCTAGGAGGTAAAGGGAGGTGCATCCTCCACTCCTCCACTAGCTGTAAGGAATGTCGTTTGGGAAGGTGCAGGAGCATTAGAATCCTTGTCACTTCCTTCTCTAGGGGCTGTGATGATGCTGGTGGACATCAATGGGTCTCTGTGTCACAGGTTCTCCAAGACATCCACAGGTGGTCAACAAGGAAGTCACAGCAGTCATGGCAGTCACGTGCAACATCTCCAAGAGAAGAATTTAAGCCAGGACTCTGGGGGGCTACAAGGCCACACTCACCTAGAGTACAGGCCCACTCCCTGTCTCTGGGGGCCGAACTTTTCTTAAATAAATCTTTTCTTCCCTCACCTCTGTGTGTTGCAATTCTTTGCAATTTACTCGGACCTCTGGGTTCCGGGCGCACATCTCCGGCTTGCCAGCCCCGGCAGTGCTGCACACCTCGCTACACCTCTCCAACCTCACCCGGTCCATCCGTACCCTAACACATATGATCCAGCAAATCCCCTACTGGGAATATACCTGGAGGAACTCAAATCATTCTACAAAAAAGATACCTGCACATGCATGTTTGTTGCAGCTCTATTCACAATAGTAAAAACATGGAACCATCCATGTTGCCCAAAGAAGCTGGACTGGATTTTAAAAATGTGGTACATATACACAGTCGAATATTATGCAGCCAAAAAGAAGGACAAACATAGGGGCTTTGCAGCAACTTGGACAGATTTAGAGTCGATCATACTTAGTGATCTATCACAAAGAACAGAGTACCTTATGTTCTCACTCATAAGCGGAACTTTAACAATTATAATACCATAAGAGAGCGACCGGCAGTAGTGGAAAACTGTCAGGGGAGGCAGGGTGGGACTGGCAGTTGAGGGAAACTGCTAGGGGAGGGAGGGGCATACCTCATCAACAAGGGTACCTGCATAATCAATGTTTGTATGCCTAACCCTGAATTGTACCACACAACTTTATAATTTAAAAAATTTCATATTCCTAATGAAAACGTAATCTGAATGGTAATCATCATTGTGTGCCTACTCTTTGCAAGGCACTATGGTACATGCTGTAGAAGTAGAGATTAATAAAACATTGTCTTTGTCCCTTAAGGAAATCATCGGGATCATTCTAGTGGGCAATAGATTTGTTTAGTAACTGATGCAAGGGAAAACAAAAGGTACTAAAAAGAGTTGTAAACAAATCACAGTGGGATTAAAAGGGGCAGCCCAGTTACCAAATCCCCAGCCCTCAGTGCTTGGCACCTCTGAATCCAGAGCCTCTCCTGTTGGTTTCTCCAGAATGGTTAAGAAGGAAGACAGACTGACTGTGGGGCAGAAGTACATACCAAAGGTCTAAAAGTTCCTTATAAAAATGTCCAAATACACCTGTCTTAGCCCTATATCTGCCCTCCTCCACCATTCTCCACATTTCCTTGTGCAGTAAATTCCTAAGCCTTTCTGGGGTTCTTTAGTTTTTAGGTCATTTCTACATGGCACACTTCTTCAGATACGTGAGTCTGTCTTTTCTGTTCTGCTAAATCACTTACCCTCTCTCTATATCCTAAGTCTTGACAGTTTGGGGACTGAGGTTCAGATGTCGTCTAGCTTCACTGAACATGGAGCAAGTATCTGGTTGTTCTTGCTTGAATGATATTCAAATGGACAGTAGAGTGGAAATGACTCATTGTTTCATCTTAAAACTTGTCTTTTTTTTTTTTTTAGAAAGCGGTATTTATTGAGAAGACAGAAAAGCTCCCACAGTGGGAAGGGACCCGAGGGGTTGCCCAAAACGTGTCTTGATTACCCAACTACTAAAATTTCATAACTAAATCGGCATCAAGAAAGAAATACTAACAAGAGAGTAAGACATTTTGAATTTAGACTATAAAAGTACATCTTTTATAGGGAAATTTTGCACAATGTGACAGATAGGGTAGAAGAAGATGCTTTGTGTGCCAGGAAAGTAGAAAAAAATTTAAAATATTCCCAAAATCATCTGAAGTAGGCCACTGCCTACTCAGCTTGAAGTAAAGCACAAGTTAGTAAACCACAAATAATTCGAACCTTCACAAAGATGGTGAACTCTTCCACTTTCTCATTGGCTAGCAGCAGTTTCCTCTGTGCACCTTCTAGGACCTGCTCACTTTGCAATGCTAATCCTTGAAGCTGTTTAGATGCTGCTGTTTCAATTTCTGCCATTGCAGATTCAGTCTCGCTTATTTTTGCTACCAACAGAGCAAGCTTGAGATCCTGCAAAAGATCAGGAATCATAAAATTAAACATATTTACTATCAAATTTGGAAGAGTTATCATACATGTCATATAAGAAAAGGGCTTCATTGTTCTCTATGTATGTATTAATTACTTTGGCAAAATTAATTATATGACCATTTATTTTCAATAAACTATCCTAAACATATTCCTATATGTCTACCATGACAATTAGTTTATGCTTTTTAAATATTATAAATCATTAAAGACATTGCAACTATTTTAGGCCAAAAGGTTCCATATATCAAAGGAAAACATTTTATCAGTTTATAAGTTTAGGAAGACCTACCAAATTTATATCCACTTGCATAAATGCTATAATAGCTTTCATTTATTAAAAATTATCAAGACAGACAATATCTGTTTTCTCTAATACAGTATTATCTCTAATGTTAAAAAAATTATTAGTGTTTCATATGGAGACACAAATCCTCTTAGCAGTTATCTGAAATATTCAAGTGGTTGATGGAAGTTTTGGGGATTAAAAACAAATGTTAAAAATTTAAAAAACTTACCATACTCCATCTCTAGGCTGAAATGTCTTTTTAAAAAGCTTACCTTTTTTTCTAACTCTGCTTTAGTTTTCTGATACATCTGTTCATACTGCGCCTTCTCTTTTACAGCAACATTAAGTCTTTGCTTTAGTGAATCAATTGACACCTTCTTATTGGAACATTCTTCGGTTAATGTCTTTACCTACAGTAAAAGTTCAAAGGTAATTATTATTGGTAAAGGTACTCTAGTAAAATGCTATTATTTGTTTCAATAGAAACTAAATAAATGAGTGAATGAGCCCAATTCCACTTATTTTCTCATAAATGCTATCAAATTCAAGTATATATTTGCAGAACGTGTATTATGAATGAAACAATCTTTGAATCAATAAGAAAAACCAAAATTGCACACAAAGTGTAGAATACTGGTGTGGGTCGTCTTCCACCTAATAGCACAATATTAATGTTAACTACATAGCCTTTGATTACGAACCTAAACTTCCTAAGACCAAAGATGATTGCTTTTGATCCTGAAACAAACAGAAAGATAACTTTCTGTTATATTCTCCAAAATAAGTATAACATCTTTTTTAGGATAAAATTAAATAAATAATAGAATACATATATTATACATTTTTGAAAAATAACAGAAAAAATAGCTTTTCAACTTAATGCCAATAAAGATATATGATTAATTATACAAAGATTCTAAGGCTATACCTGAAATGATAAGTGAAGTTTTAAAATTTTTCAAAATTGAAAGGATAATATTGAAAAAGTCTATAGAAAGTAATTTTTATGTGGATGTATGGAGGAGAAAGAGAAAGAAAATCCATATGGATTTGTCATGCTCATGTAAAATTTTCTTTCTTAAATCCATTTGAGCTAATAGATACTTACATTTTCATCTTTAACAAGGAAAGTGAAGGAGATGTTCTCTCAGGAGTGGATAACATTTAGTGAATGCCAAAGCACAAGCTGCTCTATAAGTTGTGCAAATAGCACCTTTTTTTTAAACAAAAACTTTCTGGTTTGGCGTTATATATTACATAACTATTTAAATACAACTCCTTTTCCATGTACACTGAACTAAGTAGATATAAGAAGAAAGCATACTTTTTAAAGAACTTCTGATAATTACTGGTTGTCATTTTTCATTTAGAAATAGCTTGATTCTATCACAAATTATAGTTTTTAATAAAACAAAATGCTGAATAAAATGCAATTATGTATCCCAGAAACTAAGAATTTTAAAAATTAAACTTGGTTATTTTCTCATGGGATATTTACAAATAAAAGCAGAATGTGTGGTTATATTATGTAAGAGATCTTGGAGTCTTGAACTTTAATACAAATAATGGACTTTCAGAGCAAAAAATGTAATTTGGTAATAGTACATATATATCCTTTGAATATCTTCTATACATTTATTAGCACTGAATATTTGAGTTATGAAAGTAAATACAATGGGAAGTAGTATTTTTAGTGTCAGTGAACATAATAATTGATACCTTTTTTTCAAGATTTTCTAACATTTCACCAAAATTCTCATTACTTTCCAAATGTACTTTCTGTCGAAACTTTAAGTCCTCTATCAAATGTCTTTTCATAGTTATATCCCTCTCCATTCGACACATCCTTGAGGAAAAAAAAAGGTGATATCAGGAGTGACAGAAAATACTTTAACAGTGGTGATATCCTACATTTTGTCCAATATTATATCTACTGTTAATATTTAAATGCCATTTGATATTAATGACATTGTAAATTAGTAAAATAAATTACACTAGATATCATTCTTTTAATATTTTGAGTACTTGTAAAATCTTTAGTTGTGGCTAATAATCTTACATACATGCATTAAATCAAAAAAGAACTTAGAAAAAATAAGAAAACCTATGAAAACTTAGAATTATTGTTTTTAAATTACATTTTTACATTGCTAAGAAAAATCAGTGATATTTAGAGAAAAATACAAGTGTAACAATGATAAAAAAAGCAATCTTACACTTGAGTAAAAATACACACTCAATATCATGTAAAGAAACTAAAGTTAGGCATGAAGTCTTCTAATTCAATATCCTTTAAGATTAAACTCACACACCAATTTAGCACAAGTTGATGAAACATGAAGTATAACATGGTAGATACCGTGACAATTATGACTGCTGCAGCTGCTGTTACTGCTACTATAACAAGAATGACAGTAGCTAATGTGTACTGGCTGCTTATTATGAGTCCGTCACTGCTATAGGTACGTCACTTGTGTTAAATCATTTATTCCTCACAACAACTTTATGAATTAATATTGAGGCACACAGCTAGAAGGTAAGAAAGCCAGGATTCAGTGTTTCTTTAGAGCCCTCATTGTTAAACAATAAGCAAGACTTCCTCTTAATCTAGAAATATACTTCAGGATATTATTAATTTTTTAAAATTAACCTTTTTCCTAATAGTTTTATCTATTCACATTCATTGTTAATGACATTGGTCGTTGTTTCTGGGAGCGCGACGTTTAACAGAGTTGACTGTCACTAGGTGGCACCAAATACAATGGATAGAAACAGAAAGCCCATACTTTTCATGCATCTCCTTGATATGTTCTTCTTTTGCTAGGAGTTCAAATTTCAGAGACTTCACATGCGATGACTGTTTGGTGAGTTCATTAGTTGCATTCTAGATTAAAAATAGACGTGCATTTAAATATACCTTTTAATCTTTGTCTAAAGAAGCATAAAAATAAATGCCATTCTCAAGAAGAGAAATAAATTTACAATAATTACAGAGAACGCTAATTAAAATGAACATTTTTATTTTAAATACTTTATTTTATATGCTCCAATAGAAATAATATAGTAATACTAAAATTCTTATATAACATGTCAAACTATGGAGGAACACAATCATTTAACAATTTCAAAGAGTACATGTCCAAAATATATTTACAGGAAATATGAATTGTCCTAGTAGAATGAAACTGTGTGAATAATTAAGAATTGTAGTGATTTAAGAAGATCATTAAAAACCAGTTCTGGATTTATTGACAACTAAATGCTATGCTACTCATCAAGCATTGGAATCTATTTCCCAGCTCTAGATTCCCAGGAATCTAGTCTGACCTGTGGTTTGCTTTGACCAAAAGAGTGTGGAGGATATGACATTGTGTACGTTACAGATCCTGGGGCTTCAAGTCTATGGCTTCTGCCTGTACCCTCTTAGAATGCTGCCCTGGGATCACCTTGCAAGAAAGACAGTTGAAAGACCATGTAGAAAAGTACCAAGGTACCCCAGGGGACAACTAGTAGACCAATTGTCAGATCTGTGAATGGGCTAATCTTGTACCTTCCAGCCAGGTAAATCTTTGGTTTAGAAGAATGCAGGCATATGAGGTAGTCCAGAAAAGACAGCAAAATAACTTCCCAGTCTAGGCACCAAACCATAAAAAATAATAATCAGTTGTTTTAAGCCACAACATTTTGGGATAGTTTGTTAGAGAATGATGATAAGCGATAGAGAACCTTATGAATATTAAATACTTCTTTGCTCGAACTTATTAACAATGCGACTTATTATTAAAGTATTTACACAATTATTCGTTTTTCAAAGTAGAACAGTTTTGTGGTATTTGTCGTCTACACAGTCGAGGAGCTAGAGGGGGTGACTAGCGTGTTAGGACAACTAATTTTCTTTTTTTTAATACATATTTTTTAATTTTAAAATTGTGGGGTACAGTTAAGGGTTAGGTATACAAATATGCACTGTGCAGGCACCCTTGTTGATGAGGTGTGTACCCTGTCCCCAGACAGATATTGACTACCGTTAATCCCACCTCTCCTCCCCTCCCTGGCCCCCCATAGTTTCCCGCCACTGTCAATCCTTTTCTTATAGTATTACAATAATTGTTCAAGGTCCACTTATGAGTGAGAACATGTGATACTCAGATCTTTGTTTCTGTGAGAGATCACTCAGTATTATAAACTCTAATTCCATCCAGGTTGCTACGAAATTCATGATTTTGTTCTTTTTTACGGCTGCGTAATATTCCATTGTGTATATATACACATTTTTTTAATCCAGTCCTCTTTTGATGGATAGCATGGTTGGTTCCATGATCTTGTATTGTGAACGATGCTGCAATAAACATATGTGTGCAGGTATCTTTTTTATAGAGTGATTTGAGTTCTTCAGGGTATATTCCCAGTAGGGATTGCGGGGTCATATAGAAGGTCAATTTTTAGAGTTTTTAGGAATTGCCACACTGATTTCCACAGAGGCTGCACTAGTTTGCACTCTCACCAACAGTATAGAAGTGTTTGACTTAATTTTAAGTTCCAATTAAACATGTAATCTGAGACATTACTTAGCCTTTTTGGTATTTTAGTTATTCCATCTACAAGTTAGAGAACATACATTAATACATTTAAGTTTAAAAACTATTAAACTGACAAAAAATAGAATAAAATATAGCATTTAAAATATGTGGAATAGTCATTGAGCTAATCCTTCTAGACTATAATAAATTGTTTCTATTAGAAAAATTCCTAGGTTTGGATGTTTGACTTATGCTACACAGATTTGAATTTGAGAAGATGAAACTATTAATCACACAAGGTAAATGTGAGTCAAATTCGCCAGACCAACTTTAAAGATTTCACTGGTATAACATATATAAATACAAAATTTGAAATAATTTTAACATGAAATGTGGTATTAATTTTTCTTAAAAACCCAAAGCTACCTCAGCTTGACAATTGTTTTTAATGTTGTAAGTTTTGATCAAATGTTTGTGCAATGCAATCTAAATTTTCACATTTTGCATGTTTACAGTGATAATATGACTTCTTACTTCCAGCATTACCAGAATAATATGTTCCACGCTAGTGAATTTGTCAAATAATTAAACTTTTTGCTTCAATCATTACTCTTAAATTATTTCTGGAATGATTAATCATTCAGTCAGAAATATGAACATTCACAATTATGCTAAGCTAATAGCGATATGTTAATATAGTGGTAATATATTGTAAATAGTATGCTATATTAATTATATATGATATATTCATATATCTATTATCACTATGCTAAAATATAGTGATGCTTTTAGGGACTACTGTGATATAAATGTCTAATTATTGCTACTGTACACAGTCCCAGATAGCATTTATTTAATTTTGTATTTACCTTAACTTTTTCATATTTCCTTTTTCTATCTGTTGGTTGGAATTTTTTGCTTCTGTCAATATCCCTGTCTAAAAACAATCATCCCGCCCTTTAATATGCATACCTCTAATGTGCTGCTTTTAAGGTATTTTCTGCTGAGAAGTAAAATAAACAAACTAGGACTGTATTTAAAGTAAAAGACAACAGGCAGTAAATAAAGCCTGGGAGTATCTTCAATGGAATAAATTAAGTGGATTTTAAGATAGCTGTTGACTCTTTTCTGTTTTTAGCTTAATTAAAGCTGTATTTTATGTAGCTAAAAATGCTACAACACTGGCTTGGATAATTAAGGGATAACTGAATTACAATAAGTAAAACAATTCCAGGTTGAGATATATATTTGCCAAAATCTCTAAATCTGACAGCAATTTCATTGGTCTTCAAAAAAAAGATGGGTAGAAAGCTATCCCTGCTTTAGACCCCTAGAAATTTCTTAATCAGATCCCATAAGAAATTAGCAGTCAAAAAGTAATAAAAACCCAGGTCCTTTGTCCCTTTTCCATTTCCTACTACACAATATTTATCTGTAGCATGACTTAAAATCTGGTGTAAAACACATATTTCAAAGATATGACAACGGTAAGAATCCATCCCAGTTAGCTTGCTTATACTAAGCTTATCAAATATATTTTTTAAATTTGCATCTAGATGTGGAAACATCTAGAATCTACAAGGAAATCAAATGAACTGAAAGGAAACAAAACAACAAAACAAAACAAAACCAAAAATATTAAAAGTGGGCAAAGGACATAAACAGACACTGCTCAAAGGACGACATACAAGCAGCCAAAAGACACATGAAAAAAGGGCTCAGCTTCAATAATCAACAGATAAATGCAAATTAAAACTACAAGGAGACACTGCCTAACTCCAGAAAGGATGGCTACCATTAACAAACCAAAAAACAACAGGTGCTGGCACTGTTGTGGAGAAAAGGGGACACTGCTACCCTGTTGGTGGGAATGTAAACTAGTCTAATCTCTATGGACAGTGTGGCGATATCTCAAAGAACTGAAAACTGAGCTTCCATACAACCCAGCAACCCTCCTCCTGGGAATATATCCAGAGGAACATAAATTGCTCTTCAAGAAAAAAAACTGCACATGCAGGTTTATTGCTGTACTATTTACAACAGCAAAAACATGAAACCAACCCAGATGTCCATCAAAAGTGGACTGCATAAAGAAAATGTGGTACATATACACAATGAAATATTATGCAGCCATAAAGAAAAACAAAATCGTAGCCCTTGGATACAGTTGGCGACCATCGTATTAAATAAACTACCACAGAAACGAAGAACTGAATACTGCATGTTCTCACTCATAAGCAGGCCCTGAACACTAGCCACATCAGCACAAGGGCGGGATCAGCAGTTTTGTGGCACAGCAGGCAGGGGTGGGGGTGGGGGGGACATGTAGCAACATGGTGGGTGCCTGGTCTACTACTAGGGAGTGAGTGAGGGCCAGCTAGAAGCCCAAATTCCACCTGAATGCAGCCTACTTATGTTGCAAACCCTCACTTGTACCCCATAACTCTAACTTATTTTTTTTTAACTGCAGTGTATTGATCAGGAGCATGAACTCTGAAGCCAGATGGCTTGAATTCCAATCTCAGCCCTATCCCTTAGTAGCTGTGTGACACTGGACAAGAAACTCGCTACCTTCTGTGTCTCAGTTTTCTCAACAGTAAAAAAGGGGTAATAACAGAACCTATCTTACAGGGTTGAAATGAGAATTAAATGAGTTCATATTTATAAAATATTTAGAGGCAGTCTAGAAATAGATTACATACAAAGGAAAAGAAGGGCAAAAACTACTATCCTTCATTAGTAACTTAGGAAACCTGGAAGAGAACATGGTATATACCAAAATGCATGCTCTTCAGTAATTAGAAGTCAAAAAATGACAAATATAAATTGGAGTACTATTTGACCCAAATTATGTAAAGAACTAAAATAAAGTAAATATAAACAACATATACATATCATTCACTGGAAGGAACTTATACATATCTGAATACTTTAGTATTTGTGTACATAAAGTTGGGTACCTTGAGGAAACATATCTAATAAGAGTAAAAATAAAGATACGGAAAATGCACATCAACACCCTAATGGTACTGAAGGACCCAGGGATACTAGAAAGTACTCATAAAAAATTACACTAAAAGGTTTAATAGTAATTGGAGAGTATAAAAGATTTATGTGACTTTTAATATACCAAATCTAACCAATATTCTCATTTAAGCATAAAAACATCAAGTAGAAAATAAGTTACTTCTTAGAAAATCTCTGTTAGGAGTTTGATATCTATAATGGGCTACATCAGACCCCACCCCATTCCAGTCAAATTTATATGTCGAAGTTCTCTCCCAATCCCCAATACCTCCGGGTGTGACTGTATTTTGAGATAGGGTCTTTAAAGAGGTAATTAAGTAAAATGAGGTTATTAGAGTGGGTCTTAATTCATTATGACTGGTGTTTTTATAAGAAAAATAAACTAGGGCTGGGCATGGTGGCTCGTGCCTGTAATCCCAGCACTTTGGGAGGCCAGGGTAGGCAGATTGCTTGAGCTCAGAAGTTCAAGACTAGCCTGGGCAACATAGTGAAACCTCGTTTCTACAGAAAATTAAAAAAAAAAAAAAAAGCCATGTGTTGGGGGTGCATGCCTGTAGTTCCAACTACTCAGGATGCTGAGGTGGAAGAATTGCCGGAACTCAAAAATTCCAGCCTGGCAAATAGAATAAGAACCCAACACAAAAAAGAAAAAAGAAAGAAAGAAAAGGAAATGAGGACACAGAGACAGTGTTGCATAAAGGAAAGATCATGTGAAGACATGGTAAAGACAGCCATCCACAAGCCAAGAAGACAGGCCATAGCAGAAAGAAAACCTGTTGACACTTTGATCTTGTACTTCCAGTCTCCTGAAGTGGAATAATTACATATATGTTTGTTGTTTGTTGATGAAGCCAACCAGTGTGTGGCATCTTGTTATGGCAGCCCTACAAAATTATATTGCAACAGAAATTTTTAGCAGCAAAGAGTATTATGTACTTAAAGATACCTTGTCAGCAGGGCTCAGTGGCTCAGCTGTAATCCTGTGCTTTGGGAGGCTGAGGTGAATGGATTGTCTTAGCCCGCAGGTTCGAGACCCGCCTGGACAACTTGGCAAGACCTCATCTCTATAATAAATCAAAAAAATTAGCCAGGCGTGGTAGCGCGCGCCTGTAGTTCCAGCTACTTGGAAGGCTAAGGCGGAAGGATCGCCGGAGCCCAGCAGGTCAAGGCTGCAGTGGCTGGGAGCAGTCACTGTACTCCAGTCTGGGTGACAGAGTGAGACTCCAACTCAAAACAAAAAAAAAAGATACCTTGTCTTCTAGAGAATTTCTGTATTAAAGCATGAAGCAGCTGGGAGCGGTGTCTCATGCCTATAATCCCAACACCTTGGGAGGATCGCCTGAGCCCATGGTTTCGAGACCAGCCTGGGCAATGCGGCAAGACTTTACCTCCACAATAAAAATAAAAAATAAAAAAATTAGCTGGGTCTGGTGGCACATGTCTGTAGTTCCAGCTACTTGGAAGGCTAAGGCGGAAGGATTGTCTGAGCCCAGCAGGTTGGGGCTGCAGTGGCCAGGAGCATGCCACTGCCCTCCAGCCTGGGTGACAGAGTAAGAATCCAACTCAAAAAAAAAAAAAAAAAAACAAAAGAAGAAGAAAAAGAAAAGATTTATCCTTTTGTTCCTACGCACTTGGTAAGTGTTTCAAGACTCTATGTTACAAATGGACAATATCACTTCCAACTAAATGACTTTAGGCATTCTTATTAGTCTCTCCTTTATGACTTGCACATTCCTCCAAAGCAAGAGAGATATTTGTATGGGGTGAAAATTCATACTATGGAGTATCATAATGCAAATAATTTACAGATACTCACATGGACCTATTATTACCAAAAATTATGTTCGACCATTCATAAAAGTAAAACATAAAACTATTGATTTTAAAAAACGTTAGAAGTCAGGTTAGGCAACACTGGATCTAGCATTCCATCTTATATTAGTGAAAAAATAAAATTATGCTAGAATCATAAAGACTTTAATGTATGAAGAATCACAGAAATATGAATTAAAGTCTATGCAATAGATAAGATTAAAGAATATCAGAGTGATTTTTGTCTTCTGTATGTCAAACCTAGACACTGAAATATTCAACTTCTACATTTTATCCCACTTTTTCAGAGACAGAAATACATTTTAAGAGAGAATACGTGCTCCCAAATTATATAGCTTTCCCCCTCACATTTCTTGTATTATATAAGTTATTTAAACATAAAATAATGTGGTTTGAGGCAAGATCTATGCATAAAAATTGTCTGAAAAAGATGTTACATGAGTAACATCTGTGTTGATTGAGAAGGGTCTCAGTCAATGCCAGTTTGCATATCTGATTATTACTAATAAAGCAAAATGTTTTCAAGCAATAATACATTTATTTTAAATTTTATATTTTTTACCCTATTAGTAATCCTGCATAATAATAATCATACATTATTATTATGAGACATAAGATCCTATCTTGGATTGAAAGTAACAACTTGACAATTCAATGCAGTATCCTAATGCCCTTCTGAGAGTCATGGCCATTCCATTTCTGATGCATTCTGCATTTACACTCAGGATTTCCTTTCTAGTGACTCTCCATATAGCTACAGTCCCATGTACACTTCCCTTTTAGCTTCCAGCTTGCAATCCCCACTCAAGAAAATAAATATATGAGGAATAAACGCTCTTGTTTTTAAAAGCATGAAAATAAACTTGCTAATTAAAACTCATAAATTTTATTTCTTACAAGGTAACTTTGATTAAACTAAGGTCTGCCTCACTTTTAAGTTGTGGACGCTTTCACCTGGACTTAGAGACATTTTTTCATAAACAAAAGGAACACTGTCTTTTCTCACTCCTGGGTTTACCTTGCTGAAATCTATGAAACCAACCCATCTTTGCTCTCTGCTTCTTCTCCCTCCCCTCACATCCCTCCTCCTGCTCCATCCCCAACTAACAACAACCAAATTAAAACAGTAGCAAGTGTGTAAAGGAATGCCAACACATTACATATCTGAAAGGATTTTGTTCCGATGAAGGGAGGCATGGGGAGCAGAAAGGAGTGGAGTATTAGAGCAGAAAACTACCAAATTCCATTCGCTCCTAAGAGAGGATTCCATGGTGTCTTGTCATTTTTTTTTCAAAGAATAATATTATGAGTTCCCAGATAAGCATCTATCTGGCTAAAAATTAATGGTGAAGTCTAACATAGTATTAATATTTTTTTGATTATTTATATCATACTTCCCCATTACTAGAAAAAATTAGTGTTGATATAAACATGTGTTTGAGAATTCGGTAATTTAATATATGTTTTCAAGCTTAATACACTTTGTTATCACCTTTAGTTTACACTGCAATTGCTTCATTTCCAAATCCATGTTCCTCGAAGAATCAATTGATGTAACTTGTATCCGTGGAGTTGTTACCCGGGAAACTTCTTCTGCCAAACTTGTGATTTCAGATGAGGACTCCAATTTCTTTAACAAATCTTCTTTTTCTTTCCTAAGCCCAGCCAAATCCATGTTAAGCTTCTTTAACCAAAAAAAAAAAAAGAAAAAGAAAAATAATAATTATAAAATTGCTGTCAAAGTGAGTTTATTAAATCTAACAATTACCAAAGGAAAATTTTACAGGTAGGAAAAAGCTAAAGAAAAAATTGAAATTAAATGTAGCTATTATAAAAGCTTTACATAAATTCTAACCTCTATTAGATTTTGCTTGAAGTTGTAAGGCTTGTAAAGTTAAAATAAAATGAACCAGTTGTATTCGATAGCTTTTGGTTGGCTGGTCTTTACTTCTGATGCACTATTTCTTTACCTTCACATATGCATGGGTGAGCCAGATATTCACAAATTTGATAACCTTGACTTCAGAGTTGAGTAGTACTTAACTAGTAAAAGCCAAGCTGGGCAGGACAGGATAACAGATGTTAGTTGTTTATTCCACTGGGTAGGTCTTACCACTCTATATAGCAGCCAAAATGCTTCTCATTTAGCAACATAAATGTTAAGTCCAATTAGCAGATGAGGCTTGTTAGAGATTTAGTTCAGATAAATAGTGTACAAACAAACTCGCTCAGTTTTATGCACTTGATTAATTTTTGACAAGTTCTGCTTGTAATGTTGAGGTAGAATTGCACTAAACTCCTTACATTTGAATTTTTAACAACATAAACATGTCTCTAAATAACATGCTAGTAATGTTTTCATGGCGAAATGCAAAAGAAACCATCCTAATGTTAGCCCTTCTCGTTCACCAGTCTATAGTCAGCAGAATGTCACCAAACTGTAATGGTATAACAGCTCAGAGTTTCTTAAGAGGGTAACTGCACTACTATTTTATTATTCCAAAGAAGCATATAATACAGTACTTTAACATAAGGTACAATTAGACAAAATGATACTGAAATCTCTCAGAGGGGAAAAAATCTTTCTTTGTTAAGAATTCCAATTAGAAACAGCAAAAGAGGTAGTTAGAGTGTACAGTAATATAAACATGAGACATGTTAAGTATTGACACTACACTTAAAACACAACTTGCATAAAATATACCAGTAAATCCACAATTATATGTATTTATATATGCATGTGTATATTGTTAAATGAGTATTTCAGATCATGGATTCAAAACTTGATATATTTGAGATGAAATTATGTTTTAGTAAAATAAAATGTATGTTTTGGTTAAAAAACTATTTCTTTGGCTATAATTTAGCTTATGATCTAAAAGCTTGGTTCTATAGATTTTCAGTAAATTCATTCCATGAAATTTGCTCATGAATTATCCTAAAGATATCAAAGAATTGATATCTAAAAGCAAACTCATAATTTCCTTAAACCTGGACTCCTTCCTGGTTATCATCCAAGCTTGAATCTCTCTCTCTCTTTTAACTACTTTTCTATGTCCAATCAATTGTGGTTCAATAACTTATGCAATGTTTCTCATATTCATTTCCTTTCGCCACTCTCTTAATTCAGACATTATCCCACTAAGACTACTGCAATAGGCCTGGAGCAGTGGTTCAAGTCTGTAATCCCAGCACTTTGGGAGGCCAAGGTGAGGGGATCGCCTGAGCCTATGAGTTCGAGAACAGCCTGGGCAACTTGGCGAGACCTCATTTCTACAATAAAATCAAAAAATCAGCCGGGCATGGTAGCGTGCGCCTATAGTTCTGGCTGCTTGGAAGGCAGAGGAGGAAGGATTGCCTGAGCCCAGCAGGTTGATGCTGGGGTGGTTGTGAGTGTGGCACTGCACTCGAGCCTGGGCAACAGACTCTGACTCCAAAAAAAAAAGAAAAGAAAAGAAAGACTTTACAATAGCCCTCCCTCTCCTCTCAACCTTTCTCTACCTTCATATCACCTTTTATACAACTTCCTAAAACAACATTGACCTGTTATTCCCTTATTCAAAGCCCTCAGAAGTTCTTCACCTCAAAAAAAAAAAAAACAAGTTCAGATGTTTGTGGATAGTAAGGCTAAGATACAGCTTCAATTTGTGTTTCAGTCAGGCATCACATGACATCAAACTTGCCTGCTGTTCTACATTGATGACTCTACACATGGTGTTTCCTTTTGTTGAAATAGCTCTCATCCTTAAAGGGCAGCTTAGTATGTCCTTCATGAAGCCTCTGTGCTCTTTCCTTCTCATTTGAACAGCCCTAAGTGGCTCCTCTCACCTGTTCTATTTGTATGCCACTATTCTTTCCACCTGGCAGATCCTGACATTGTAACTGTGTCTCCACTGAGTAAAGACCAAACCGATATTTTCTTCTAAAAGACATGGATATGTAAATTTTAACTTCAATTTAACAATATAAAATTTATTAAATGAAGAAACATTAAAAGTATGGAGGCAGTAAACAAAATGACTCGTACTTTATTAAAATGTTTTAATTAAGCATATTTAAAATCTATAGTCTTCAAGATATATTTCTAATGTTAGTTTTACATGTGCAAAAATGCTACAGAGCATGTGTTAAAATAGAGGAAATATGCAAATGGTATATTCCATCAGTTTAGACTCCTTTAGTTATCCTTGGACAAATAACTGGGGCTCTGTTACTAACTTCTCTAAGTTTAATAATTTTATTTCTTATCTGAGAAAGCTATAGAAGAGACAATAAGTATAAGTAAACATTTTTTTACTTACACTTGATTTGGGGTATGAGACTACTTTTGTGGGTGGCTTTGTTGGAAAAATAATTTGCCATAAAACCCTACCAATAAATTAAGATCACTCTTAAAATTATGATTCTTTAAATTAGTAATATGATTCCAATATCCATACAATTACCTTTCCAATTTTAAAATATTTAAGTCATAATGTTAAAAACAAGCAATAACAAAACACCCATGGAGGAGTCATAATTTCTGGATTCCAATTCTCCAGGTCTATTGCCTACCAACCGAATGACCTTGAACAAGCACATAAATTTGTCTCCTCATTTAAAAACAGAAGTGATACTTGGCTACCAAACAAAGGTGATCTTGACGACAGAATTTTTAAAAACATTTGTGATCATACTTGGTAGATGTCAAATGTGCAGCAGTATTGCTAGCATTATTACATTGTGGCAAAAACTACCATACAGAGTCTGAGAAGCGTGTGGAAGGCTGAGGACCTGGATTAATTTTTAAAAACTTTGTTTAACATATATTTGTAATAACCCTATAATTTCTCTCATGGCAGAAACTTCAGTCTTAAATCGTGGTTACTTGTTTGATTAGGATTAACTTAGGACCCCTCCTAGGCTTCACACTTATTGCAGGCAGTCATGTTCCTCTGACTCAGTGCAATCCCTTCACAGTCTTCCAAAAGTCTGTTTCAATTTAAAAGTTGACTTCAACAAGAATAAGTACTGAGATTTGTATTGATTTATGTGTAGTCAATTATTTCTAACCAAAGGTTATAAAATAGAACTTAACATTATATAATTTTTAAAGTAGACACTAGCTATTAATAATTTATTTAAATTTAACATCGAGGAAGCATAAGTTTCCGAAAAGGAAAGAACCCTCTGAGCAACAAGGATAAACTGAAAAATGTATTCAGTAATGGATCCTGTGGTCGGTAGACACAACTCTCAGATGACTCATGCTCTCCTCTCGCATGTGGGTGGCACCTGGGAATATGATATCGCTCTCATGATTATGTTATATGCAAAGAGAATTCTGTAGGTGTAATTAGGACCCCTAATCAAGTGACTCTGAGCTCATCAAAAGCAAGACTCATCAGCTGGTCCTGACCTAATCAGGTGAGCCTTTTCAAAGCCCAGGCCTCCCCCCCACCCCCCCAGCGCCTGGGGTCTGAGAGATCCTCCTGCGGGCCATGAAGACATAAGCTGCCATGTTATGAGAGGACTATGGAAGGATCCATGAGGAAAGGAGCTGAGGGAGGCCGCGGGAACTTGAGAATGGTCCTCAGCTGGCTACCAGCAAGCAGGTAAGACCTCAGACTTACACTCATAAGGAACACGGGAGTCTGAAGAGAAGCCTGGGCTCCAGAATGAAGGCAGCCGGGCAGACACACCAATGGCAGCCTCGCGGTACTCTGGGCAGAGGACCCCTCTAGGCTGTGCCGGACTCTTGACCCAAGGATACTGTGAGGTAATGAATGTGTATGTGGATTCTAAACTGCTAAACTTGTGGCCATTTGCTATACTGCATTGAAAAATAATACAGGTTCTAATTAAAAAAAAAATCAACTCCCTTTTTGAACTTATTCCTGTCCCCTTACTGCCACTCCACCCCATCTCAAGCAAGTATCCAAACCCCATCATGTAGTTTCCATAATATTCTCACCCTGGTTTAATTTTGATTTCTTTATCCATATTTTTGTATTCACTTTATTTCTTCAGTTGCTTTAAAAATGGTTCCATTTTCTTTAAAAATTTTTTGTTATGTTTTTCTTTTCCATTTTATTTGTATGTTCCATTTTCTATGCAATATATAATATATATATTTACTTTATTTTATTATAGAGATGTGGGGTACAAGTCAGGATTAGGTGCATAAGTCATCTACATGCCGGTGAAGTTATCTACTGGAAATATAAGTCACCTCGATCACATCTGCATTTTGTAGTTTAATTGCCAAGCAAAAAAGCCTCTGGCCAGAAGTTTCTTTTTGCTGCTCTCCACAGTAATTGTGGAATCCCATGAGCAAGGTAAATAAGTGTCTCTTGGCCTATTTTCCCTTGTTCTTTTTTATGGGACTTCATTCACAAACTGCTTTTATTCTTGGCTCCAACTTGACATTTTCTGGAGGATTTGGATAGGGAACATCTAGATTCAGAACCTAATTCAACAGCAATCATTCATTCTTTTTACACATACTATGTGGTAAGCACTATACCAGCTCTGTGCTTTCAATGATATACAAAAAAGTTATAATCTTCAGCTTTGGAAGTTACCAGTCTATAACCCAGAAATATATAATAATACACTGGCTGGGCTCGGTGGCTCAGCCTGTAATCCCAGCACTTTGAGAGGCCAAGGCAAGTGGATTGTCTGAGCCCCCAGGTTCGCGACCAG